TCCCATTCGTGCCGAATCTAATGAAACGAAAAGTGAATGAGAAAAAATACTTAATGTTAAAAAAATAATACTTAATGTTCAACATTCAATATATTAAAAGTAATACTTACTTATACAAAATTGTGTCACACCTATATTCTTACCTGTGTACCTGAAAAAAGTAAAATAACAAAATGTATCGCCGTAGGTGTTTGGCCAACACCCGAGTTTGTTATTGTAAACATTTTTGGAGCAGGTTTTATTAAATCAGAATGTAAATCAGCGTGAACAAACATATTTTTGGCTCATGCCCTAATGTCATAATTACAGAATTTTAGCGAGAATATCTCTCTTTCAATAATAGATACTTACTCAAAGTAAATAAGTACCTTCGTACGTATATCCTGGGAACATATAGTCTAGTCAACTTTTTGACGAGAGAGAAATAAAAACGAACAATTAATTATTTTTGCTTCAATTGATGTCCGTTTGTCTTCTGTGCCTATTTTTCTATAACGCAAGTTTTCCTCTTGATAGTACACAAAACAATATTAGATATTGATAGGTACTGAAAAGACCTCGTAGTTGTTTTTTGTGGTCTCTTATATACCATTAAATTTAGTGTTTTTGTTTAAGCGATTAGGTCGGCAAACGATCAGACGTAAAGATTATTTAAATTGAGTATATTAGCTAACATCGGTTCAGGTAAATAACTGACTGTGCATTGTGACATGCATTTTTAGAAAATCTATACTAATATTATAAAGATGTAAAATTGACGGCAGTGTGGTAACTGGTCGGATTCCCAAAATTCTTTCACTTATTTTTAACTACAATCTTCCCAAATGCTCTTAAACTACGACTATATAGCATCACGCTACAATAAAATGGTGCCGAGCAGCGAGTGAAACCGCGCGGGACTAGCTAGTATTTAGATAAAAAGACATCTTAAAATTGTTTACATTTAGTTTATTACCTATGCCGATGATAGATACTGTCCCTGTATTTATGTATCCCTGTTTGTTATTTATCGATTAAAAATAGTCCTGCTTCCAGTTCACTACCACAAGACATAGGAAGTCGTCATCAGCCTATAATTGTCCACTGCTGAGCATAGGCCTCTTCACCTACGGATTAAGGATTGAGCATTAACAACAACGCTTTCTCAAGGCGGACTAGTTATTTCAAACTCATAATTAGAAATTATAAGTCCAAATTTCCTCACGATGTTTTCTTTCTATATAAGTGAGAGGTGTCTAAATAATCATAGAAACTACATAGTAATTTGGAAAAATGTCACACTGGTACTTGCTAGGGGTCGAGCTCGCACTACCAAACCACCACGCCACAGATGCTAAATTCTAAGAAATTATATTCGTGGCCGGATCTTACGGTACTTAAAGATTAATATAATAAAGGTCGTAACTTATATCGCGCTTACAGCCCACCCAGTGATTCCGTCGATTTCATTTCCTTTCCGCAACTTTATCCTCAACTTTATCCTGGTTTTGTTGTTTCAGTGCATTGACACACTTACTGGGAACATTCACCGTAATCGTATATTTTTTGTGTGATCACCACAGCATAGCTTTTGTTGTCCATCGTAACTTTTGTTTTTGTGACTCTTCAAGCACTATTGAAACATTGTTGTATTACTCTGCAGAATGATATACTGTTTTAAATAAAGTATTTTTTTCAACACGTTTGGTGAATGTCAATTGTTTTTTTTAATTGGGAAACGTATGTTGTACTTATGTTGAGTTATTTGTTGTTTAGCTCTTTTTGTAAGCAATCGCTGAAATTAAACTTTAAAACACTGCTCCACATACCTTGGAAAAATGGCATAAAATAATGTGTGTGAATTGCGTTTTGTTTTTCCATGTTCCCGAAGGTGTAAATTTTCTCTACCAACCCCAATATCCAATCCCCAATACCAATGTCCTTGTGACTCTTCTTGTCTTCTTCTCTTCCTCTTCGTCGGTTGTCCAAGGACATTGACATGACTGCTTGTTTACCATTCCATTCCATAAAAAATGACCCAGGAAGATATGGCTCTAAGTGTCATTAAGATGTTAATAAAGAACGACAAAATGAAAAACTATAAATAACCGTACCAAGATCACTGAAAAGGAATTCATGTTAATTAATTTGTGCAACGACCATACTCAAAATCATCGGTACAATAGATATAAAACCTCCATTCATCGCTTAACTATTCGATTCTGAATCACTCGAATCTGGGAATCGTTTACAATGTATTGAATTCGATTAAAATTCCTTTAGTTGTCAAAAATTGAAGCTTGGAGTATTCGAATGATTAATTGGTCGAAAGTTGTCGAGTAAGCGGATGATCAGGTAAGGTTTGTGGGCAACCCATTAGCATTGTGGGGCGATTGTGAGCTCATCAGGCTCTGTTTAGAGGTAAATGCTGACGAGGCGAGTTCTCGATGCGTGGTGGTGCCACACAGCTTGCTACTTAACGAGAGCTCTTTAATTAAACATGAAAGCAGGGCGTTTCTATGAACGATAAGGTTTTTCATTCTATGGCAATTTTCTCTAAGATTTTCCAATTTATCTTTTAGTTTGGTTATTGATGTAGTACTTAATGTAGATTTTGTTTCTTCTTAAACAAGCGTTGACAATAATTGCCTGTACGTGTGCCGTTATAATTGTGTTTCGTAATAGACAGGCAAGCCTAAAGATAATTTTAATATCATAAAAAGCTAACTTAAACATCCTTCTCACTCCCGTTGCTTAGCAGACGTATCTCATATATCACGTACCTACACACCGTAAAAAAGAAAATGAGAAGGCATTCCTATTAAACCAATAGTTTATAAGTTTCACACGTATTGAGAACCGTATAACCGGCTTCCCGGGTGATCTAACACTTGTTTTATTTGTGAACATTTTTCACGGTATCACCGGCCATTGTGCACGGTGCGTTTTTTTCTTTCGACGTATTTTTTTTTCGTTCAAAAAGTTTTTATGCGCTTGCCGGCCAGTGCTAATCGCCTCGACTTGTGTCGACATGAAGCGACACGTCTCACGCGATTCAAATGTATTATATTATATGGGAAACGTTTAATTTGATCAGAATTTATTGGGGTACTCGGAAAAGAGGTTGGGCGGGCCAAAATTAAAATGTTGATTTGAAGAAAAAAAAATAAAATTGACATTTAAGTTAATGTTTACCTTGAATTTTCTTCGCATGATTCATGCTATTTATTTAAGTCACATAAATGAGAGCCTATGTTAGACTTTATGTCCTGACTACAATACGCATTTTTACAATTTATGTTGCATTATAATACAGTACAAACATAACCGTTCTATTTTAACATTACTTCATTCAGTACAGAATCACATTACGCAGTAATTGTCCACGTGAAGTCATTCACAAAGAATGCTGAATACATCTAAGGATGCGCCGGCGCACTTACATACAAAAGACATAAACGCACTCGAGATGCCTCCGTGTGCGCCCCGAGCTGCAATGCCTGAAGAATCGATATAATTTCCTGTCTTTTATTATTTATACCATAAAAGCCTTCGCCGCCAAAGTGGTCGTATATTGTATATGATAAATACAATAAAGTTTAGAATGTGGCGCCTTCCGTTAGGGTACAATAGTTTTTTCAGCGCGAAATATTTGTCAATAATAAATGAGACGTTCCTTTTATTACCAGTAACAGTCAGCCGGTGCGGACTGTAGTTTGGGCTCACATAAATATACTACCGGTGGTGCAAGCCACAGGCGACCGCTCGTGCTATTTTATTGTTAACTTAGCATTTTCAGGTAGCTTTTATTCAATTTGATTGTAGAAGTAGAATGTCGTTTAGCACATGTAAAGCTTGCCTCCATGGTAATTTAATTCTTCAAAACAAACATAGACGAAATGAGTGTAAAAAGTACATCAATCATCTGTCAAGTTGTGTTTTAGCAGGTTAGTAAACTACGTGTTGATGTACGTTACCCCATTTCAGCATTGAAGCTAAAACACTTCATCATCAACAGTTTACTTGGAGATTGCGGAATATCACTTAGGTATTTCAGGAGTTTTAATTTGTACATTGAACAATTAAATAGAATATTGAAATATAAATTCCAGGCGATGCTTAGAAAGTACCGAACTTACTGGAAATAGTTTAAAATTCTATTAGATTATGAGAGTTCATCGTTAGAGAAGTATTTGTACAAGATAGTCCGCTACAGTCTGTCGCTTGGAGACGTCGCGCCGTCCGCTCGGCAACAATAGCGGCGCGGCGGGCGGCGAGCGACGCGACCAAAGAGCCTCAATGAACAGTCTACCTGGATTATCTATCGGTGATAAATTAAAAATATGCCATCGCCACGCATTCATCATCGGAATGGGTCAGTTTCGACGCTCTAGCATTGTCTAATACGACAAAAAAGGTTAAAAGATGAAGGCGCGGAGTGTTGCTCTAAGATTTTTGTATGCAGCGCTGGTCGCTCTCATCCTTGACATTGGAAATTGTACCTTTAGGAACATTTAATTATCGTGTTCGGTATTCGTAGCATGTCTGGCTCATTATGTAACTCATATCTCAGGACATTAGGTGAGCTATGCAGATGGAAGATAAACTATTTATGATGCAGCTATAAATCCTCCTGTTCCACAGTTGTTAACTTGATTATTTTGATGAAATTAATTTTAATTACATTGTTGTATCGTGTTTTCCTGAGTTCATGGATAATTTGTCGATTGTTTTATATTAATTGTAAGAAAAAATTAACGACTTTAGAGTGGTGCGTTAAAAGATTAAATTATTAATTCAAAGTTTCTTGTCTGACCATTATAGTATTATGGTTTAATGTTAATCTGTAAGTCGATTACTAAGGATAATATGTATGGTAATGTGTGTAAAAATATTCTCTTGTATTGTGGTATTTTCGGAACAAGTTCGTCGAATAATAACACGCGTGTAGCGCGTAGGTCGGCTGCTGTCACTGCACTCGGCTGACGTCTCAATCTGAGACAATGCGAGCAGTTGTTTAGTTATTTAGTTAGTGGGAGCGTGTGCAGGGCGGCGAGCAGGGAGCGGCGTGGTGGCCGTCGTGTCTGGCAGCGGATGAGCGACTGGTGGCCGGCCACGCTCGATATGAGTGCGCGCGCACCGCCGCAGAGCCCGCGACACCACGCTACTCGACCAACTGTCTGAGCGCTACAAACAACACGCAAAAACTAAAACCTACATTTCTTACTACACTATACAGCCATATAAAAAGCTCCGACACTCACAGACACATTCGATTCGATGATTCGGACTAGGATTCGATAATTCGTAACGCTCGAAGCAATTCGACAAATTTCCGAATTGGCAAGTTTTTACAAATTTTTCACGGTCCATGCATGACGTCATCTAGATAATTGTCTGATCGCTAAATTGATACCAGTTACGGAATTCAAAAAGCTTGTGATTTTATTTGAGTTGTAATAAAAGTTGTGTCGCGCTTGGCTCGGCGGGTGCGAGCCGTCAGTTGGCCGTCAGTCCGGGAAGGCGCACCGATGAGGGAGCACGCGTCGCGCTCTCCGGCCGACACGACGAACGCGCGCTCGCGAGTGTCTAGCACTACTGCCGAGTTTATTTGAGAACTTTGTTTTATTTTAATTAGTGGCTTGTGAACATGAGGTGTTTAGTGGTGTTGTTGTTGTTGGCGGGCTGTGCGAGCCTGTCGGCCTCCGCCGGCGTGCCCTGCGTCCTGTCCATGGAGTTCTTCGGCAGGCACAACGTAACAGCTGATGATAAAGATGTACCAGGTGCGGTTATATAAACAATCCCAGCCTTCAGGGAAACCGAATCACCGACATTGATGGAAAGCTCTCAGATTGCGAATTTTTCTACGAACGCTTAAAGGTTTTGCGTGAAGAAGTTTTAAACTGAGGCTTTTTCTTTTAAACAATTTAATGTAACTGGTTGGTTCTTTCAACGTCTGTAACTTACTGGTATCAGATTTTAGTAAAGTTGCGAATATTGGGTGTTTTGCGTAAAATACAGCTACAAAGTACATTAATTATGTAGTCATTTACATATTTATTAAAGAGTTCAGTTGCCCTGAGGTCGGCGCGATGTGCAAATACATGAATGATATGCACAACGCACGTAATGTATTATATGCACCGACATGCACAGTGCACGGAGCCTGTGTGTTATACATCGCCCTCCAGTGTTAGGCTACGGCTCCCCGTGGAGTCGTTAGTCTGCGTTTTGCAAGCAACGGAAAATCCAGTTTCATCCCTCTCTCTCTTGCTCCAAAGCTCTCTTCTCCACGATTACCTATTGCCATTCTGTCATTTTCATATTCCGTTACTTTAGCATTTGTGTTTTATCCATAACATATAATCAGTTTTTGATCATTTCTTAGTTTAAGATGTATATCTATACAAATATTATAAAAAGGTAAAATTTGTAAGTTTATATGTAGGGGGTAATCTTTGAAACCGCTGGTCGGATTGCCAAAATTCTTTCACTGATAGATAGCTACAATGTTCCTGAGTGCTATAGGCTAAACCATCACGCTTCGATCAAATAGATCCGAGCAGTGCGAGAATAGCTATGTATTATGTTTTTATTACCGAGCTGCTAAATCACTGCGTGGTACTTTAATTATAAAGTTTTTGAAGTCAACCAGTAAAAGACAAATAAACGGTGTTTGCAAATATTATTTTCTTGAAATGGGTTCTTTTTGTTAAGCCCCTGTATAGAGTGATTATTTCATTATTGTATAGACATTCGCGTTTATAATCTGCGTCTTAGGGTTAGTTACAAGTTTTTATTTCAATAAGGGCTGATTTTTCAATAATCAGATAAATGTTATTTGAGGGATAAAATTGTTGCTGTCACTATCTTATACAAACTTTCTGACGCGACAGCATCATAATTTTCGCCAGGTGACTTTTATCTAAACATTGAAAAATCAGCCCTTAGTTGTAGTTGGAGTTCGGTTTCATCCAACCCGCTGGAAGGCTGTGGATGGTGTGGAGATTTTGGCAAATTCTATTATGTAGAAGAAGATTATAATGTATAGAGGATAGTCAGCGACTGATAATAATAATAATTATCTGTTACGCTGTACAAAATAAAAACATTTAGCATTATTTTATTTCGACACTCAATAAAAAGGTTAAGTCTTAATCTATATATTTCTAATAATAATTTGAATTTGGAATTCACGCACACATCTATACCTATAGAACTTATTAAAATTTGGTGGATTTGATTCGATTCGTAGGATGTTTGAACTAAATTAAATGTATCTAGTTATAATTAAAATATCTAGTTTTAATTACCACTGCGGAAGTAGGTACCTACTACAGGAAAGATTCCGCCTAGTAGCCAAATTGAAATTAGATGATTTTCCTATAGTGTGTATTAGTTATGGAGTATGAATTTCAAGTTACAGTATTATATCAAAGTAACGCGTGATTCTGAACTAGCTAATCTCGCGCGGTTTCACCCGCTGCTCGACTACATTTAATCGTAGCGTGATGTTCTATAACTTATAGCACTCAGGAATATCGTAGCTATATAGCTAGTGAAAGAATTTTGGAAGTCTGACCAGCGGTTCCAAAGATTACCCCCTACATACAAACTTAAAAATTTTACCTTTTTATATATTAGTATAGAGCGTAGATATAGATAAAATGGGATTTTTATCATCATTTACAATCTAGTTCGGGCCAAACCATTTTCATTCAGTTACAATAGCACATTATTTAGACATACGAGTTAACAGAAAGGGAAAATGGCTTCTCAACCACATCCTCGACATCTCGATAGAAGACTTTTGACACATTCAGGGCTTTTTTCACTTGATCTGGATAGCCATCAGACAAAATAATCTGTATATGAAACTGATTAAAAAAAATTACCATGGAGTTTCTCGCTCATTCTTCTCCATCGGAATCTGTACTTTGTGACGAGCAAATAGCTTCACTAAGAGGTATGACCGACAGACTGACAAAAGTGCATGTAACCGTCCAATTGAAATAAATGTGTTTCGATTTTTGATTTTCAATAGTTGAACAATCTGCCATACATACACATACATTAATCTATAATAGGGAAATATGTCCTTGAAATTGTGGACTTCAAGAACAGCTCTCCAGTATCACAGATTGTCAATTAGTCACAGATGAAACACTGAATGTGCTTACCATCTCAGATATCAATAGATGACATCAATACGTTTGGCTGGATGGTCGGGTGACCGTCGCACGCTTCGCTCAGCTGATCTATCGACAGCGTCTTGGATATGGACTTCGGTAGTGCAGATTTTGATAGTGAAAAAGCAATTTGTACATAGTAGGTAGGCGGTGTTTAGATAAAAGATATCATTGGAGTATACTCGAAAATGGTAGAGAAAAAATGTACCTAAGAAGTTTGTGTGATAAAGTTACATTCAGAGGTTTTTTGTCAGACTAAAAATAGGTAGTTATTTTTAACCTTTAAGGATTCCTGCATTTGACAGAGAAAGGGCAGCGCTCTCTTTTAATTAAAAACACATAGAACTTATATAATGAGGGAGTTGAAAAGTGGCCCATTGCCAAAGCCTTGATCAAGTCGAGAAACAGAAACTAGTTATTTCTTTGCTATTCATCAAACGATAACTTTATCCACCAAAAACATATTAGGTAAGGTAATCACCCAAACCCTTAGCATCCGACTATAAGAATTTATTTACGTAACACAAGATAATACTTGATTAAGATTTAAAATACGTACCAACATCCAAGCTGTTTATACGTATACATAAAACATTCCCAGACAGATAATTATTGACATGAATCACTCAGTTAAATAAATGGCAACACCGACGCGATAGCCAAATTAAGTAAAAAGTTTTCAAATAAAAAGGCTGTATTCCACCTGCTAGTTTATCTGTGGTTCCCGATAAAAATATCGTTACCGTCCTTTGACTCGTAAAAGTCGACATCAGTCTTCTTGTTTGTGATATTTTTTGAATGTTTGGACCATAATATTAACGATCAAAACATTTGTTATCAACGGTTCGAAGTTTTTATAACACAATTAAAAGATCGTGCTGAGTAGTCGAAGAATGAGGGAGCTATGAGGGATTTTGGCAATCGCCAATAGTATACTTATGGGTTGTACAGAGCGAGGTCCAGAGGTGTCCGCACCTACTGATAAAAATCTTAACTATATAAAATAGTTTCTTTATTACTTATGAATAAAATAATCCACTAATGTGAGAAAATATTTTTTTAAGGTATGTAGTCACAAAATACAAATCAAAGAATTCATAAAATTATGCACATTAATTGTAAAAAATGTGCCAATTGATGTAACTCCAGCTCTATGTAAATTGACACCTATTGTTTCAAATGTACGACAATGTGGTCAAGTAAGCCTACTGTTACAGTTACGGCTGTAGGAAAAGTGTACTATTTAAATAACGATAATTAAGCGTCAGCTGTTCGCTATTCGACACCCGACCCTGAACCTCGCCTGGTCGGTATGAATGGAACAATAACACTTATTATAATCACACAGTATGTACATTATTTCTGCGCTACAGCACACAGAGTCGCATGGCCCAACGCGACGCCGATTCATAATGAATTCCCCGGAGTGCGCTCGGCAACTCGTACACAATTTATTAGGCCATCACGTCGGTAAAAATAAAGCGAATTTACCTTTTGCGGGCTAACGAACAGGGGCACGCGACGATTTTTGAATATCGAACGTATCGAGTACCGATTCACGGCATCGTAAAAGCTACTTAAGGGAAAGTCACGAAAAATTACGTGTCTGGGACGAACCGCTAGCGGCGCGGGGCGGGCGCGGGGTGAATGGCGGCGGGTAGGCTTTGTTGCTCGTGCTGGCATTCCTCGCCTGGGAACCGGGAACCTGCGCCCCCGCGCCCCGCACCTGCCCGCACCCCCGCCTGCATTCCTGCCCTCTCTCACTTTCATTGTTCCCGTCGGCGCGGGAGGTCGCCGCTGCGTACAAATAATGAAACCAGTCGTTTTAGTGGGGACGACTTGTTGGCTCACTCCAATAAACACGTCTGACCTGTCCATAAATGACATTTAGGGATACACTTGTTAATTCCGTGGCGCTGCCCCGCCGACTTGCTGCCGTTGCTATCAACTTGGAATTTGAAGTCACGGATGGTAGTTTTTGTACCCAATTAACTAGCAACACTAATCATATGTTTGACAGTTAACGGTAACGTTTAGGATCGTTGGCCAGGGTGGTGGGGCAGGTGCGCGGGCGCATCCTAATGAAATCATCCCCAATAACAACAATAGAGGTGGGCATTATTATTGTAATTTATCAGAAGGGTCCGAGGCGTTAGTCATCGCTATTGCGCCGAATTTTGATTCATTTCGGATGCTCGGAATGCCATTGTGGGCGCCGCCATTACCTGCGCGCAGGTACACCCACAGCCAGCCGCGAGGCGCAGCCTTACTTTTGTTTATACGTTTTGACAAACTTTTGTGAACAAAAAGTGTTATTATCAACAAGGGTGGCACCCGGCCATTGTCTGCTATCTGTGAAACACTTGTTCCCCTTTGTCTTCGCAGAATTCGCTTCTGGAGCGAGACGTATCCGTATCATAACAGTCATTAACCGGAATATATTGAAGGGACATGTTAAACAACCTGGAATTACAGCGGAAGTTGCGTCTAATATCCATTTATACTAAGGGGAGGTCTTATTGTTATTCACGGGGCACCTGATATATTTTAAACCGTGTATAACGAAACACGTTAATATTTACAGAGATAATTTAAAAAGAACTTGCTTAGTTAATAGCGTGATTACGAGCAATTAAAACGTTAACAGCATTTTTATTGGACAACTGTCCGAATAGATGGCAAGTGCTTAACATAAATATGGAGAATATCTTCATCCGCAATTATATCGTTATTACTGTTTGAGTGTTTAAATATAAAAACAATGTTTTAGATAAAAGTAATTAAGTGTAATCAGATCAGTGAACTGTATTCGAACGATTTGGGATTATTGAATTCGGTACAATTGTGCGGGTTCACATCGATCGCATAGTCCGAGTAGAATTAATTAAATAGCGATAAGGCAGCGTGCTAATTATTCCGCATGGTCCTCTCTGGGACGTTTGTATCTGAGGACGGTACGCGAGGGTTATCGGCTGGGTTCAGAACGGACATACGCTCTCATAGGTATGTACCAGACAGTCTGATATTAGATTAAATAAATAAAGGTTAATTTGTTCTTGTTGCCAGACAAACATGTTTTGTTGTGACGCCGAGGGAAATATTTGCGCGAGTTTGGACAGCATACCGATTTGGCTTTTTCTGAATAGTTGATAACTTACATTTTTTGTTAGTTTTTAATATTTAATAGCTAGATAGACTGTTACTGATCTATTTAACAAGTGCACCTCTACCCATCTTTGGTAAAAAGCGCAGTATTACCCTATATAAATAAATTTGAAGTCACCCCTAACCAACCTGTGTGGGTTCGGTTTCGGACATTATCGATAGTAAGGGTTAATTTATATCGATCAGTCGTTCAAATTTAACCCTGTGAGTCATTGTGGTCGAAGTAATCGGAGCTGGGAAGCCCCGGAGCGGGTGTATGTGAAACCGATAGTTGTTCGGGTCACCACACACCCTGACCGACCCGGACCTGTCGACCACCTGTTCCACTATGCTTTTTACTAATTAAAACATATGAGGAAACTAACAATTTCTAAACAATAGCTGTTCATTTTGCCTACTAAGAAATTCTGCATACATTTGTTACAGTAAGTCCGCGTGGTATTAAGGTTGCGCTTTCCGAGATAAAAAGTAGCCTATGACCTATTCTGGAGTGTATCCTATGCCTGTGCCAAATTTTATCCAGATACGTCCAGCCGTTTTGGCGTGATTGAGTGACAAACATCGTAACTTTTGCATTTATAATATTAGTAATTTACATTAATTATATCTCTATAATTATGTATTTATTATCTTGTCTTAATTTAAACTTAAATGAAGGCAGTATTGTCTCAGCATTCGGACCTTTAATTTCTCGCTTTACCCGAACCTTACATATTGAGATGTCATTAAATACTCTTTCAGAACTTTTTCATCAAAAAAGAATTCAAATTTAATTTTTCTATCAGTCTATTCGTTTGTGAATGAAGCTGTTTTAATGGGCACATTGATATGGAAACAAACGAGTAAGTCATTCCATAATTATACCTTAAAAGTTCTTTGCCATTATCGAAGGATTTTTACAATATAAATTTTAATATAAAGAAATCAATGATAGTTCCCAAAGAGCTACGTATTACAAAAAACTTCAAATAACAGTGACTATAGTTCAGCTATTTAGATGCTATCGACTTGAATTTTACATGAGTATCATAATAAGACCATTACCTTTCTCCGTGCACCGAATTCAATTGAGAAAAATAAAAATAATGAAAAAGCAGCTTGGCAGCCATATTTTTGTTCTATATAGGTATTTGAAATTATATTCAATTCAAATTTAAAATATCATAAGAATTTCTTATTTTCTTCTATCGCCGATCTAAAATAAAAAAAACTTTTTGCTTATTTACAACTTCTAAAATATGTTGAATATATTGGCACGTGGTTATTTATATATTTCGTAACGTTAACATATTAACTGCGGATTTCATGGATCCCGTTAGCAATAAACAGTAACGCGTAGATCCGCTTTTATCCGTGTCCGCTCCAATTCCGATCAGAGTGATAGCCAACTTGCTAGATCAATATAATTATTGCTTCTTTATTTATTATAATCTTCTTTTTTTACAACTTAATATTTCAGCAAATAGTTCCTGGTATTAGCATTGTCTTGTAAAGTTATTTGTTAAAATAATCTCTTTACCTGTGGTTCATTCTCGGCGAAACTATGAGAGAAAAACTGACTGCAATTGTTCACTTTGCAGCATTGAAAGTAAGATAAAGCACAAAGTTTAAAAAGAAACGTTTATTGTTGAGAAGTATTGTTGAAATAGAAGTAACGAATAGCAATTACGTGTTACTTAAGAGATCACTATTATCTAACAGCTGTAAAGTCTTACGGTTCGAGTGATAACATCTTAATTAAGAAAACGCTCTCGTATTTTATTTCGGGTAATAATGTCGCGTTCAATTTGGAAGTTTTGGAAGATAATACAAGACTTTTGCAAACCTTTATGGAATGCTAAAGAGCTGAGATAAAGGTCCTCAAACATGAATGTTTGGGTTCACGTAACTAGGTTATCTTAAACGAAAAATGAATTTCAATAACGTTCCCACGGGTGCAAATCCCGGGACCTTCCATCCCATTCAAGTGGGTCCCGTCGGTTTTCGGTTGAATTCTTATCTTTAACGAGGTATGATGGCAAGTTCCGATGGTACAGGAAGAGGGCCATTTCAGTGTCATGGATTAAATTAATCTAATCAAGCGATAAATTGAGTGGCTCACTGCTCGCTCCGATATCTCGATGGCAAATCGCTGCTGACACTCATTGCTTCCAGATATCTTGAGATAGATTCAATGTTTGTTATTCAAACATCGATTATTCAATTTCGACTTTAGTTATTTTTTAAGCCAAAATCACCAATCATTCGATCTTAATAAGCTTTTCATTTAGAATAATCTGTTTTTAAAAAAGTTACATATTATATGGTAGTTGTTACGCAATGAAAAGAAGAATAATTGAAGACGTAATAAATTACATTATAATAACTTTATTTAACTTTAAAAGTAAATTCATGACATTCCAAATTAGTCGTATCATATTTCTAACGTAGTGGAAAGGGGACATAGAAATTCAGTGCGGTCCCGAGTAAGTTGGAGTTCACGTCACGGTTGTACTCGAAGCTTATTAATTAATTAATTAAATGTACTTCACAGGCAACTTGGAGAAGTTCTACGTGTTTGGTGTCCCACCCAGCACCAATTTACGTTGCATACTAACTGAACTATTATGCACACGTTATTTAAAGTAAATGCAAACATGCATCTGCACACTACTAAAATATTATTTTTCCAGAATTAACGCCTTTGTTGAGAAAGTTATTTGAATATGGATACCTACTATAACATAAACAATTTAATTGTATACTTGTTTATTGTCTTCAAATTTTTAAACGACACAATCAGAATCTTAGAATCCATATGTAAATTCAGAACTCAACTACGAAAACCAAGCTATACGAAATTGATTTCAAACAATACATCCATATTATATATTATGTACATATATGTGATTGCCTATATACCTACTATGTATGTAGGTATATGTATACACGTTACCCTTATAAATACGTATACCTTGGAGGCTACAACTAAAGAGAAATTCCTTGAAAATCTACGAAGAGATCCTTTGATAATAATGATATTATCGTAAAATTTTCTTCTTATTCCATTTCAGTTGGCCTTGAAAGGTAAAGGTCTGTTTAAGGTACGTTGTAAATGTCCTGTGTTTTATCATGTTATGTAGGTACCTACTCCAGTCCGTCCAAATGTACCTATGTAATATATTTAGAAGATCCGGCCGTGGCCGCGTCACGGCGATGTAGAACCATATGTGCCATGTGCGAATATTGTACGCGAATTTAGGAGAATTAGCTAACATAAACAGTTGAAGTTTTTCTAAATATTTTTAGTTCGTTATGGTAGGAAAATTTTATGAAAATCTAAACGCAAATTTTTGTTAGAAGCTTTCATTGACAGACTAATGTTGTAAAATTTTTATCACATTTTGTTTCAAATAAATTGAATTGAAAAGCAATCTTCTGACAAGTTCATATATATCTCCTCGCGCGAGGCTGTAACCTTCCCCTATATACTTAGTCGGGTCATAAGTTCTGTCACAAACTTTTGATGTAATAACTTATACGCCTTTTGACAATTATTTAAAAATTATATATGAAATGAAAGGTCATTAAATGTACAATATAATTTTATTTACATTATTCGAAATGCCCTCCCCCATTTTGAACACATGCCCTTAATCTACGCGGCCAGTCATCGATCGCTGCACGCACCACATTCATATCTATGTCTGCCGCTGCTTTAACCAGAGATGCTCGGAGAGACTCCAAATTCGGGTGAGGTTTAGCACAGACTTTTTCCTCCAAATATTGCCATATCTTGTAGTCCAGTGGGTTTAAATCTGGACTAGAAGAGGGCCAGTCTTCATGCCGGATGAAGTCAATTCCACGAGCGATCAACCAGTCTTGCGTACTTCGTGCCTTATGAGCCGGTGCAGAGTCCTGTTGGAATATCCAATGCCTGTTCCTGAACATTGTCTGAGAAAGAGGTTCCACTAT